AGTTAGTAATTTATGAATTCAATTTAATTTCAATTAATTCTGATCAAAATCTCATCAGGTTTCTTTTTTTTAACTTGAGGTGTGACTATATGGTCTGGAATTGACTCGACAGCAGTGGGTTTTGTTTTTGGTTTTGAGTGAATACATCAGAAGCGCCAAGGTTATTATCTTAAAAAAAAAAGGTACTGGATGTGTACTGCTCCTACTAGATATAAAAACATAGTAAAAAACAACAATCAGTTGTAACAATAGTCAGTTTTATCAGCATACCTAACAATACATCAATGTAATAGAAGACAGACTAGAAATATAAGTATATATGGTAGTTTATAATAAAATACTTGATGATTCATTCTGTCCTTCAGTCAACTTACATTTACTGATTGCCAGAGTCTGTATAGATGATGGGTATACAGAAGGTAATCATAGTTCTTATTAACCAAAAAAAACGCCAAACCCATTGCTGCTGAGTCGATTCCAACTCATAGTGACACTATTAAATTATTAAAAATTTAAAATATCGATCATATCAGATATTATTAAGTGTGTGGTTAATCAAGTCCTGTCAGGAACTCTTGGTGGGAGTATAAATTGACACAGCATTTTTTTTTTGAGAAGGAATTTGGGAAAGCTCTATGAAAAATTATTTGCACTTATTTTTTAATATGGCAACTCTCCTTTTAAAAGCCTTTGAGTCGAAATTGACTTGACGGCAATAGCACAATTTATTTCAAAAAGCATGTGAGGTTGTTTTCTACAACTTTGTTTTAGTATTCTTCCTGCAAAAGGTAATTTTCTCCCAAAATATAATTGTCTTCTTGAGTTATATGCTTGCATCTTCTTGCTGAGGGTGGCGTTTACACAAACTTTTCAAAGATTATTTAAAAGGCTGCTATCTAGAGGCAACGCTGTTGAACTGCAAACACTTGATACCTGAATACTTAGGGACTTGAGAGAATATGACTGTATTCTTCACTTCTAAAATTGATGAGTGCATGCTACATACTAGACACTCTGCTAACACTGGAGATAGAGAAGTGAGGAAGACTCTGTCCTTGTTATTAAGAAGCTCACAGGCTGGCAGGCATAAGAAAAATGAATGTGTTTATTACTGAAAGGAGTAAAGGAGAGGTAGCTAAGCAGATAGTTGGAGCAGTGGAAGAGATATCAGGAAATGCTCTAAAGAGGCAGTGATGTTTAGATGAGTTTTGAGGGGTGAATAGAGAAAACCTGTCTTAGTCATCTAGTGCTGCTATAACAGAAATACAACAAATGGATGGCTTTAACAAAGAAAAGTTTATTTTCTCACAGTCTAGTAGGCTAGAAGTGCAAATTCAGGGCGTCAGCTACAGGGGAAGGCTTTCTTTCTCTGTTGGCTCTGGAGGAAGGTC